CAAAGAAAAGAAAGTTGCACCCATCAGAATGACTTTCAACATAAACTGAGGATTCAGCATAGAGTGGAAAGAAAACGAAACTGAAAGACTTCAGAGTTCAGCCAGCCAAACCCTGACACCTTTATAAATAAAGAAAGTGAGGTCATGGGGCCGGTGTTGTAGTGCAGTGTGTTAAGCCACCACTTGTGATGTCAGCATCCAATATCAGAATGCTGGTTCAAGTCCCAGCTCAGAGGCTCCTGGCTCATAACTTCAGCCTGACCCAGTCCTGGTTGTTGCAGGTATTTGGGGAATGAACTAACAGATGGAAGATTGCTCACCTTCTCTCTCTGTCACTCTGCCTTTCAAATAAAATGCATTAATCTTTAAAAAAGAGAAAGAAAACAAAAATGAGGTCCATAGAGGTTAAGTGACTTGACTAAGCCTTAAGCTATTGAGACAGAAAAAATAAGATGGTTCTCTACAGAGTCCCAATTTCTTGTACAAATATCATAATCATGGGATCTGAGAACACTACTTAAATCTCAGTGAGATGGGTCACATAAGTGGAAATGGCTGAGTTATATATTCCAAATATCAACCCAAATATATATCCCAAATATTCAACCACACGACCTGTTATCAGCACTATAATTCTATCCCTTTTGATCTTCAGAGATTTAAAACACACACACACACACAAACACACACACACACACACACACACACACACACACGGTTCCATTATCAGCTAGCAGTTTAGTTAATTGAGAGCAACACTGAGAATCACCGTATGTGCCAATGGGGTTGGGAATGGAGAAGATGAGCTCTGAAGGATGGGTGACCTGGATTTAAATCCCAGGTCCATGAATGACACAGCTGGTTGACCTTGGGAAAATTACTTAACCTCCATAAGAGCCTGATAGCTCAGTCTTGTGTATATGTTTAAGTCTCTAGCTGCAATTACTACTATGTTTTGCATTTTTTGCTTAGGACAAAGCTGGAAACTCTGCCTTAACCTGAGATTAATAGAGATAGAAGAAAAAGCAAACATTCCTGGGTAGTCTAGAGGTAAAGGTCTTCCGAGGATGGACTATATGTGAAGCATCTTCTGAGGTAAAAAGCTTCGAGTCCAGAAATGAGCCCCTTGCAGGAGCTGGTTACCACCGCGGGGGCCAGAATGGACAGCTTGCCTCTGCAGCAGCAGCTTAGCCCTGATGTGGGGAGGAAGGAGCTCTCCAGCAACCAGCTACTTGGCTGCTCTGGGTGAGAGCTGGATTAGAGAGAGCGGCTCCTGTAGGAGTATCTCACAGGCACTGAAACTTCCTTGGAAATGTGAGAAAACTACACAGGATTTGTCTCAAGGAACGCACTTCATGTGATTGGAAACAATGCCACAGCTCACTAGCTAATCCTCTGCCTGCGGCGCTGGCACCCCAGGTTCTAGTCCCAGTCAGGGTGCCAGATTCTGTCCCGGTTGCCCCTCTTCCAGTCCAGCTCTCTGCTGTGGCCCAGGAGTGCAGTGGAGGATGGCCCAAGTGCTTGGGCCCTGCACCCCATGGGAGACCAGGAGGAAGCTCCTGGCTCCTAGCTTCGGATCAGCGCAGCGCACCAGCCGCAGCACACCGGCTGTAGCAGTCATTTGAGGGGTGAACCAGTGGAAAAAGAAGATCTTTCTCTCTGTCTCTCTCACTAACTCTGGCTGTCAAAAAAAAAAAAAAAAAAGGAAGGAAGGAAGGAAGGGAGAGAGAAAGAGAGAAAGAGAGAAAGGGAGAAAGGGAGAAAGAGAGAAAGAAAGAGAAAGAGAGAAAGAAAGTCTCAAAAAATTCCCTGAGGTAGCAAATAAGTAAATGTGTGTGTGGATATGTTTACAGTGGGAGTAGGACATCCTAAAAGCAGCCTAGAGTAGCCATAGGTGTCACCAAAAAGCCATCAAAGAAGGCTGGGCCTGACTTTTCTTGTAGGACTTTTTTCTGCTGAGTGGTGCAGTCAGTGTAAGGCCAGAGCTGAACTGCTGTCGCACCTGGACTGGAAGCTAAGGTCTGCCCTTGGGCCTTCCTTGTCCACCCCCCTCATGCAGGGGTCAGTCTCCACTCAAATGCTGCATATTGGAAGCAAATCCATTGGATGTGTCAGGGTTTTAGCCTGCCTCAGATATCTTGATCCAGCTCTGCCTTGTGGGACCTCAATCTTAAATCCCAGAAGCCCCACCTCAGTAGCTCTTGCTTCTGTTCGTTTGTCTCTCTCATCCTCCACCCCTCAAGCATTTTTCCTTACCTAGTGAAAAGCTGTCATCTTTCAAGGCTCAAATCAAACACCTCCTTCTCTATGAAGCCTGTCCTAATTCTCCAAGTCAAAACTAGTCAGTCTCTCTTCTATGCATTCTTTAAAAAAATTATTTATTCCAAAGGCAGAGTTACAGAGAGACAGAGGCAGAGAGAGAGAGAGAGAGAGGAGAAAGAGAGAAAGAGGTCTTCCATTCTCTGGTTCACTCCCCAAATGACCACAACGGCCGGAGCTGGGCTGATCTGAAGCCAGGAGCCAGGAGCTTCTTCCATGTCTCCCACGTGCATGCAGAGGCCCTAGTAGTTGGGCCATTTTCTACTGCTTTCCCAGACCATAACAGAGAGCTGGATTGGAAGAGGAGCAGCTGAGACACAAATCAGTGCCCATATGGGATGCTGGCATTGCAGGTGGAGGCTTAGTCTACTATGCCACAGCACTGGCCCCTCTACTACATTCTTCTGCCATATTATTAGTACATCTTCCTACTGGGAATTATACATAATAGCTCCATGTCTATTTCACACACAGCACCACAAGCTCCACCATGGTAGGCACCATATATTATTTGTCACTATTGCACTTGGAAGTTTCCTGGTTCTTTTTATAAAAAATCTTAATTTGCATATATTTATGGGGTACAACACAATGTTGTAATACATGTATACCCATGGGAATGACTGAAAAAGCTAATTAATATATCTAATACCTCATGTACTTACTATTTTGGGGTGAGATCACTTGAAATTTGTTCCTAGCCATTTTGAAATCTACAACACAATAACTATAATCATTCTGCTGTGCCATAGATCTCAAAACCGTATTCCTCCTGAAGCTTGGGCCCTTGGACCAACAACTCTCCATTCCACCTTCTCACCCACCCACCAGCAGCCTCTGGTAATGACCATTCTACTCTCTATGGGTTCAACTTTTTTAGATTCCACATATAGGTGAAATAACATGGTGCTTGTGTCCACTTTACTTCACTTAGCATAATATTTTATCCTTCTATAGTTCTGGACTTGAAGCCTCAAGATAAGCATAGCACATCTCCTTATAGTGGCAATTTTACTCAATTTTTAAAATGATCATATATTTTTAAACATTCATAATTTTTGGGAAGGGTTCAAAATTAACTTGAATTTTAAAAATAAATATATTTATATCATTTATTCACATTCCTCTGACATGTGAAAAGTTTAAGAACTCAATACAAGTTAGGTTAAATTTAATTTAATTTCAGGGAATGTTTGTGGTTCTTTCTTTCCCTAATAAAAAACAAAAAGCAAACATCCATATAACTTTTTTGTTCATATCAATAGCAAGGACCCTCCCTTTTTAAATTAATGAGTTGGAAAAGGAAAACTGGAAAAATCAGTGCTATTTCACCTTAATTATAAAATTTCTTTAAACAAAAGTTCACTTTCTAAATATGTAGACTGAGAAATTTTTCAGAGCTCTACCCTTTGGCAAAAACCAAATGCTTCTTTGTATTTAACAAATATTATATAGAACACGTATTATACAGAGAGTAATACACAATATATATACAATTTACTCTTGGAAGTTTGAAGGTCTATAGCATCTGATAAGTAAAAATGTAAATGAATAATAAATAATAGTCGCTGGGATTGTGGCGTGAAGGGTAAGGCTGCCGCCTGCAATGCCGGCATCTCATATGGGCACTGGGTTCAGCCCCAGCTGCTTCACTTCCAATCCAGCACCCTGCTTCTGTGCTGGGGCTTGGGGCCTGACCCTACATGGGAGACCCAGAAGAAGCTCCCAACTCCGGCCATTGAGGCCATTTGGGGAGAGATGGAAGATCTCTATTTCTCCTGCTGTCTCTCCGTAACTCTTTGAAATAAATAAATCTTTAAAAATAAATAAATAGTATTTATCAAGTAAAACATCCTTGAGACTTCTGAAGCCAGTGCCAAGAAGCAGGTGAGACTAACATTGGATTTTTAGTTAGGTATGTTAGGTTAAGTACAGCCAAATAGAAATAGACCCACTAGGCTATTATTTCTGTGCTTTGCTTTAAAAGCCAAATTATAAAAATAATTATGGGACTGGTGTTGTGGTGCAGTGAGTTAAGCCAACGCCTGTGACGTCAGCATCCCTTATTGGAACATAAGCTTGAGTATCAGCTGTTCTGCTCCTGATCCAGCTCTCCGCTAATGCACCTGAAAAGGAAGCAGAAGATGGCTCAAGTACTTGAACCCTTGCCATCCATATGGGAGACCTGGATAGAGTTCCAGGCTTCTGGCTTCAGACTGTCCCGGCCCTGGCTGTTGTAGGCATTTGGGGAGTAAACCAGCAGATGGATGATATCTGTGTATATGTGTGTCCGTGTGTGTGTGCGTGCGCATGTCTCTCTCTCTCTGCCTTTCAAATAAATAAATAAATATTTTTTAAGAATAAAAATAAAGCATAATTCCTTCTCGTCTCAATACCTGGGATAAGTGATCATATTAGCAGTAAAACTGATGTAATATGGCTAATTAAAAGGTAGCTCTTTTCCCTGACTACTAACTGGTAAAGTAATCCCTAACCAACTGGTGTTGTGGTGCAGTAGGTTAAGTCACCACCTTATCAATGATTTTCAAAGAAAGTAGGGTTACAAAAGCGTTTGCAGCAATTTATAACACAACTACTTCAAGAATGATCACTGGTTTAAACTAAGCTCTCAGTTCACCTGTGTTCTTGCTAACAACAATTTCTGCACAATTTACACTCACCTCGTGCCCTGTCTCTACTAGGAGACATCACATCATGTTTTTTGACGTCTTCTTCATTATTTCTCTAGAGGTTCTGTAAAAAACAAAATGCCATTGATCATGACAGGTATCTTGCATTTTATACCATCCTTTCTCCCTGTAGGTTTATAATTAAAAGCTTTTTTATTATATATTCATTATAAATGTTCTAATAGTCAAAATGTTCCTAATAGTTCAGAACTATATAAAGCAAAAAAGTAAAGGTCTTTGGAATAATATTCAGCCATAAAAAAGAATGAAATTCTGTCTTTTGCAACAAAATGGATACAACTGGAAATCATTATACTCAGTGAAATGAAATAGATCAGAAGAGAAACAGCCAGGACTAGAACTGGTGCCCATATGGGATGCTGGCCACACAGGCAGAGTATTAACCTACTGTGCCATAGCACCAGCCCTGACATTTTGAGAATTAATTATTGTTTACAGCCCTGTATCTGCTTGTTGAAGAACAATGTTTTTTTCTTTTTAGTATTTGTTGAATTCTTTACTTAGTAGAGGGTTAAACTTGTGATTATAAAATAAACTGAAAGTATGTCATTGTGGGGCTGGCACTGTGGTGTAGCAGGTAAAGCTGCTGCCTGCAGTGCCAGCATCCCATATGGGCACCAGTTCGAGTCCTGGCTGCTCTACTTCTGACTCAGCTCTCTGCTATGGTCTAGGAAAGCAGTAGAAGATGGCCCATGTGCTTGGGCCCCTGCACCCACGTGGGAGACCAGGAAGAAGCTCCTGGCTTCTGTTGGCCCAGCTCCGGCCACTGCAGCCATTTGGGAAGTGAACCAGCAGATGGAAGGCCTCTCTCTTTCTCTCTCTCTCTCTTCTCCTGCCTCTCTGTAACTCTGCCTTTAAAATAAATAAATAAATCTTTAAAAAGAAGGTATGTCATTGTAAAAGTTAAAAGAAAGAATAAGAAAAGCAGGAGGAGGGAGGGAACATGGGCAGGAGGGAGGGTAGGGTGGGAAGTATCACTATGCTCTAAAATCTATATATATGAAATACATGAAATCTGTTCACCTTATATAAGTTTTGTTTTGTTTTGTTTTGTTTTTGTTTTGTTTTTGACAGGCAGAGTGGACAGTGAGAGAGAGAGACAGAGAGAAAGGTCTTCCTTTGCCGTTGGTTCACCCTCCAATGGCCGCCGCGGCCGGCGCGCTGCAGCCGGCACACCGCGCTGATCCGATGGCAGGAGCCAGGAGCCAGGTGCTTTTCCTGGTCTCCCATGGGGTGCAGGGCCCAAGCACTTGGACCATCCTCCACTGCACTCCCTGGCCACAGCAGAGAGCTGGCCTGGAAGAGGGGCAACCGGGACAGAATCCGGCGCCCCGACCAGGACTAGAACCCGGTGTGCCGGCACCGCTAGGCGGAGGATTAGCCTAGTGAGCCGCGGCGCCGGCCCATAAGTTTTTAAAAATTATAAAAAAGGTCCTTGTTTCTCCTAGTCTGTCATTTTAAAATAAACATTTTAAATATATTTTTAACAATTTATTTATCTGAAAAGCAGAGAGACAGAGAGATAGAGATCTTCCAGCTGCTGATTTACTCCTCAAATGCCCACAACAGCTGAGGCTAGGCAGAAGCCAGAAGCCTAAATTTAATCTGGGTCTCTCACATACTTGAGCAATCACCTGCTGCCTTCCAGGGTGTGCATTAGCAGGAAGAACCAGAAGTGGAACTAGGCCCTGAATCCAGGCTCTCTAATGTAGGATGCAGATAGCCCAATTAATTGCTGCACCAAATGCCTATCACAGTCTTTCAATTTTTAAGTCAGTTGATATTGAGTAGTCAAGCCACCTCAGTTTTTGTTTTGTTGGAGTGACTAGTAAAAATAAATTCTTATGTGTTAAAAAATAGCTGGGGCACTGCAACATGGCTTAGAGGGCTTTGCTGAATCAGAAGCATTCAAAAACCAATTCATCTGACTCTAAAATATTGAAAAACAAAAATCCAGGTTGTTGTTTTTTTAAGTATCCTCTATTGGGGCCAGTGCTGTGGCGCAGTGGGTTAACGCCCTGGCCTGAAGTGCTGGCATCCCGTATGGGCACTGGTTCGGGACCCAGCTGCTCTACTTCCGATCCAGCTCTCTGCTATGGCCTGGGAAAGCAGCAGAAGATGGCTCAAGTCCTTGGGCCCCTGCACCCATGTGGGTGACCCAGAGGAAGCTCCTGGCTCCTGGCTTCAGATCAGCGCAGCTCCTGCCGTTGCGGCCAATTGGAGAGTGAACCATCAGATGGAAGACCTCTCTCTGTCTCTCTCTCTGCCTCTCCTCTCTCTGTGTAACTCTGACTTTCAAATAAATAAATAAATCTTTTTTTAAAGAAAAGTATCTCCTATTAAAAAGAAATCATCATCACTTCAAGTGACAAGTGAAATTAAGTTTGTAATAGATTTTTCTGTAGTGGCTAATTGAGGTGATTTAAAATCAAAATTAAGTACAAATCCATTTGGAAAACAGTCTATGATTCCTATGGTTTCTGCCGGCTATACAGCAGATCCCAAGTCAGGTGTGTGTTTCATTTAGTTTTCATTCTCTGTAGCCTCTTGGACAGTGTGCAACTCACTGAATTTTTCTGGACTTTGGTTTCCTGATCTGCCTGTACAACTGGCACAGCAATAACAACACTCACCTCAGAGCTGAGACGTGAGGACTAAGGGGGATGAAGAGGGGCACTGGGATGTGGTGGAGGTGGGCGCAAAGGATTACTTGGTCACCACTGTCATTCTGTCAGGGGCTGTCCTTTATGCTCGGGAATCTTTAGTGACCGTTTGGCTTGCTCTTTTTTTTCCCTAAACTTTACTTAAAATTTTTCTGAAAAGATTCCTCTTGTGCATAATGGTATAATTTCTTCAAAAAATTATTTCTTTCTTTATTTACTTGAGAGGTAGAGAGACAGAGAGCAAGGGAGACACAGACCAAGAGAGAACTCCTATCCAGTGGTTCCCTTCCTAAATGATGGCAACTGCCAGGACTCAGGCTGGAATGAGCAGGGCTAGGGATGATGTTGGGAGCTGGGAACACAAACCAGTTCTCATGTGTGGGAGTCATCATCACGTCTCCCGGAGTCTGCGTGGGCAGGAAGCTGGGATCAGGGACCAAAGCAGGGCACTGAACCCAGGTGCTCTCATGCAGGACAAGGGGTCTCAACCGCTAGGCTAAATGCCCACTCCTCGTAACACTGTACTTTGTTTTGAAGGACTAAGAGAAGCAAAGGAAGGCATGATACTGGCCCTGTCAGACACTGCTCATGCCAGCCAGCATCCATTCTCCCCTTTTACTTTAGTAGCCCAGTTAGAAGACTATATTTCCCATTCTCCCTCACAGTGAGTTAGGTTTCTAACCATGTGAAACTTGTATTAGCAGAAATAATGGGAGTGACCTTTGGGAAGTCTCCTTAAAAAGGAGAACACTCCTCCTCTTCCAATTCCTCCTTTCTACCGGCTGAACACTGATGAGACAGGCAGAGCCCTAGCAACTTCTTTGACCAAGAGGTGGCAGGTACACTGAAGACGGCAGAAGAGCAAGACAAGAGGAACCAATCTAACAGCTCTGGACTGCCTAGGCTTTTCTATCTTAACCTAAGAGAGAAATGGGCATTTAGCCTAGCAACTGGGATGCTGTCTGGGACGCTTGTGCTCCTTATTGGAGTACCTGGGTTTGATGCTGGGCTCTGGCTCCTGAATCCAGCTTTCTCTTGCTGTGGATCATATGAAACAGTGAGAATGGCTCAAGTGGTTGGATCTCTGCTGCCCATGAGGGGAACCTTTGAGATCTGCAGTTCCTAGCTCTGGAGACTGGTACAGTCCTGCCTGTTTTGTATATTTGAGGGTAAACCAGTGATTAGCTTTCTTCCCACCCCGTGAGTGTGTGTGTGTGTGTGTGTGTGTGTGTCTGTTTCAATCTCTGTCTCTGACATTAATTAATTAAATTGTATAAGCTTGAGAAAGAGAGAGACTTATGGCTGTTGAAGCCACTATTATTTTGGCTTTTTCCATCACAGGTGGATGAACCAATTCCCTACTTATATTCTGGCCCTTCCAGGATACTATCTAAAACCAAGAACAATTTTTTTTTGACAGGCAGAGCTAGAAGTGAGAGAGACATAGAGAAAGGTCTTCCTTCTGTTGGTGCACCCCCCAAATGGTCACTATGGATGGCACGCTGCACCAATCCGAAGCCAGGAGCCAGGTGCTTCCTCCTGGTCTCCCATGCGGGTGCAGGGCCCAAGCACTTGGGCCATCCTCCACTGCCTTCCTGGGCCACAGCATAGAGCTGGACTGGAAGAGGAGCGACCAGGACAGAACCGGTGCCCCAACTGGGACTAGAACCCAGAGTGCCAGCGCCGCAGGCAGAGGAATAGCCTAGTGAACCGTGGCGTAAGCTATCCAAGAACAATTTTTAATTCTGGAATGTTTTCTCACATTCCCTTGAAGCCTACATGTGATCTCTATTTATTCACAACAAATTCTTCCTTCTTCCTTCTTCAGAAGCCTATAGTGTGTCACTCGAACCCTTGTTCTCACTTTTTACCTTTGCATTGCCCATATTTTGGATATTACTCACTCATGTCAGCTCCTCAGGCAGGAACTTGGAAAATGGGCCACATTATTAGAAAAGAAAGAAGTGAGCTTGGCTAAAATTAAATTTTCAGATTTCTTTTGTAGGTTATAGGAAAAAGTGTTCATTTTAATTCAAGTACTTATTAAACATATACCATGTAGGCTGGCGCCATGGCTCACTAGGCTAATCCTCCGCCTTGCGGTGCCAGCACACTGGGTTCTAGTCCCGGTCGGGGCGCCGGATTCTGTCCCGGTTGCCCCTCTTCCAGGCCAGCTCTCTGCTATGGCCAGGGAGTGCAGTGGCGGATGGCCCAAGTCCTTGGGCCCTGCACCCCATGGGAGACCGGGATAAGTGCCTGGATCCTGCCATCAGATCAGCGCGGTGCGCTGGCCGCAGGCATGCCGGCCGCGGCGGCCATTGGAGGGTGAACCAGCGGCAAGGGAAGACCTTTCTCTCTGTCTCTCTCTCTCACTGTCCAC